GCCTGGCTGCAATGGTAAGCTCCACTCCCCCAGCTTGATTTTTCGGTGTGTGCCTCGCCCCAAAACTAGGGCTTATTTTTGGGGTAGGGTTTATATTAGGCCCACCCCCCAAAATAAAGCTAGGGCTTATTTTTGGGGTAGGCCTTACTTTCAGGAAAACATGGTATAAAGCAGTGGTTCTCAACCTTTTTAATGCCGCGACCCCCAACCAGTCGTAAGTCGAGGACTAAACCGGTCGTAGGTCGAGGACTAAACCGGTCGTAGGTCGAGGACTAAACCGGTCGTAGGTCGAGGACTAAACCGGTCATAAGTCGAGGACTAAACCGGTCGTAAGTCGAGGACTTTCCCTGCCCGGGAGCGCCGCGCATGCGTGGTTCCACCCCCTGTGCCGGCTGAGACATAGCTGGCAAGTGGCAGAGACGGAGCAGGCCGACCACCAGCTGGCCCAGCCCAAGGGAGGTAAGGCACCCGCCGGAGAAAGGGGAAAAAAATGGCGGACAGCCTTGCTTGGCGACCCCCGTGAAATGGTCGATCGACCCCAAATGGGGTCGCGACCCATAGGTTGAGAACCGCTGGTATAAAGGTAAAGTTTTACCCTGTCCAGTCGTATCTGACTCCAGAGGCTGATGCTCACTCCATTTCTTAGCCGAAGGAGCCAGCATTGTCCAAAGACACTTCTAGGGTCATGTGACCAGCATGATATACACCAGGAGCACAGAATGCTGTTACCTTCCCACCAAAGTGGAAGCTATTTTTATCTACTCGCATTTGCATGCTTTTGAATTGATAGGTGGGCAGGAGCTAAGAGACATAATGGGAGCTCACCCCATTGTGCAGCACTTGGGTCTCAAATCCAGGCTGTTGGCTTTCCAGCTGACAAACTCACCGTCTTTAACTACCATACCTATTATAAAAGCAGTGGTCAGTTTAAAACAGGGGTAGTCAACCTTGGCTCTTTTATGACTCGTGGACTTCAACTCCCAGAATTCCTGAGCCAGCTAAGCTGGCTCAGGAATTCTGGGAATTGAAGTCCACGAGTCATAAAAGAGCCAAGATTGACTACCCCTGGTTTAAAACATTTAAGTTACCCAGGCATAAATTATTACAGTGGTAAATATAACTGACAGAGGGCATCAACCACAGAGAAGATAGCTTTTACACAGGACAAAAATGTTCCTAAAGGTCTGATTGTGTAAATTGTGTATTCTCTTCAGCTTTTTGGCAAGAGATTATTAAAGATGTAGGTAGTACATAAATGTACCAGACTATACATACATGGCTCACACCCTGCAGTTTCAGTGACAGAAATGTATGATTGGGAGAGCCATTGGTTCATGCTGTTGACATAAAGATGGAAGCTAAGGGCTGTTGATTGGGAGAAAAAGAAAATCCATAATTAAAAAAAAATCTAAGATAAGGTAGAGAGGCTGAAGACAGAGGGCAGGGTAAAATATTGGGGAGATTGTCAAGTTCATGAGATCCAGAAAAAAAAACCACTATAGTATGTTGGATATTTTTGTATTTCTTTACTTGTGGGTGTCTGTATTTTTGTAGCCCAAATATGGTAGCTATAGCTAAAAGCATAACATAGTCCTGTGAATTCAGTTACACTTTGCTGTGATTACAAGTGAAGACAGTTGAAGAAAAAGATAATGTCCGACAAAAGTACAGTAAGACCCAGTTTGGTTAATGGCTTCAATAGCTTAAATGACAATGGCACAGAAAAACAGATACTTAACACCTGCCTATGAATAACATTTACCGCGCAATCTTAAACTATTACACGCCCTAAACTTGGCATTATCTCTCAATTTCCGAGCAATCGCATTTAGAGGTGAGGCTTTTATAACTAATAATATTAGTTATAATATTAGCCGCATAACTAATAATATTCAACTGCTATATTAACGTAGAAGTTGAAGTCTTAAGCATTTGAAGCACAGGAAATGTAACGGTTCGCTTTTCCAAAAACAGATGTACAACGTTGGCTCGTTCGCAACGCTCGCAACAAAGTCAAAAGGATTGTTTTACACGCATCCACACCCGACACGTGAAATAGGATCTAGGATACGCATACTCCCCCGGTGCAATAAAACAGCAAAGGACAGGACTAAGTTAACGGGGAAGGAAGGGCCAAACTCGGTTACGAAACCAGCCAGACCTGGGTTAAAAACGTTGCCAGAAGCCGTCCCTCACGTGGTGAAGCGCCTCGTTCCTTTCGCGGCGAGCAAGGGGGAAATCCCGCTGGTCACGGGCGTCCCCTTTAGGCAAACGAGGGACTTTCTCCGGTTTTACGGCCCCTAGAGGGCTATTCGGTTCGTCCGCTCCGGGTCACCTGATTCTGAAAAAGCCCCGAACCTGCGAGGTTGCCCGAAGAACGAGCCGAAAGAGTCAGCAAGAGGAAAGACCAAGGTGTGTGTATGTGTGTGTGCCAGGCAGAGAGAGGGTTGCGTAGCGTACGCCTGCAGGCATTCGCCTATTCCTGCTCTAGGGCCACCCCAGGGAAGGCTTGCCGCCGCACACCAGAGATTAGGCTGCCAGGCGAGCGAACGGAGATTAAAGCCAGAAATAGCGGCGCCGAGGACCCGCACCTTTCGACGCGAGGCCGCGGAGGCGTCGGAAATCGCGTAGAAGGAGAGCCGGTGGGGGAGGAACGTGGACTCCCTCGCCGCTCACGCGAGATCCGCGCGGAGGAAAGGGCGCGCGACCTCGTTTCGCCGGCCACGCTTGCCCCTCCTCCTCCTCCCCGAGAGCCGCGTCGACGGTCGGCCCGCCCGGCAAGAAAGGTTGCGGCGGGAGGAGCAGCGACGCGGGGCGGGGGGGCCTTCTCGCGATCCGGAGCTAAGCAAGGGGAGAGGAAGAGGCACGGCGCGCGTCGAGGAGGACCGGAGCGTGTTGACAGGTTCGCCGCGTTGGGTTCTTCGGCGTTCCCGGGAAGGAGGACGGTGGGTGGGTGGGTGGGTGGGTGGAAGGCCTGGCCGGCATTTAGCAATCTTCAGCATTGGAGGTGGGGGGGGGGGTAAGGGGTGCCGCTGTGCCCGGAATAACAGCAACGGCTGCTTCTGGTATCAACCTTCCCTGCGCATTGGAAGTGGGGGGTGGGAGTGGGCATTGCATTGCATTGCATTGCAGAGCAGGCAAAACTAGGGATTTGTGGAAGGAAAGGAAAGGAAGGAGTGGGGTTGGGGTGTGATGTCGGGGTGGGGTTGGCTGGGCTTCGGGAAACGAGCGGCCTGTGCTTGTCTTGTCTTCAAGGAGGAGCTGCCGGTGGACTGGGAAAAGGCTCCGAGAGGGCATAATATGGCGCAATGATATAATCTCGCATCAGACAGCCAAGTGGAAACGCAGGGCGACGGGGAGAGGAAAGGAAAAAAAAAAAAAAAACCCGGGTGCTGCAGTGGAAATCATCAGCTGCAAGAGGAAGCGGGCTTGATAGTGGCCGAATGGGAGACGAGCTATTAAATTCATTCCCGGAGCCCTCTTGAGGCTCTGTTGGGAAGGCCTGGGCTTTGGAGACGTGGGGGAGCCTTTTCTCGAGCCCTCCCTCCGACATCAATAACGAAGAGGGAGGTGGTAGTTTGCAGTAACCGCCATCATATTGATCAAGGGATGCAGTTCACCGAAGGAAAAGGAATTTCTCCCTCCCCCCCCAATACACACACACACACCTTACCGTCTTCATCTCCTGAGTCATATTTCCTCTTTATTCCCCCATCTCTAAAACATCCATGGCTACACATTTCAGTGCAAACAGTTACACAACAGAAAAGATGGGGGTTGGGGAAGGAGTGAACTGAGAAGCTAGGCGGTAGAGGAATCTACTTTTAATGGACAAATCATCATGTTGTCTTTTCTTTTTCTCCCCCCCCCCCTCAATTGTTTTCCCCCTTCTTTATAGAAGTGGCAGCAGTCCTAGAATTAGCTGAAGATGTCAGGTCAGACGCTGACAGATCGCATCGCAGCTGCTCAGTACAGCGTTACAGGATCAGCTGTAGCCAGAGCGGTCTGCAAAGCAACCACACATGAAGTGATGGGCCCCAAGAAAAAACACCTGGATTGTAAGCATCTTTTTTATATGCATAGTCATGTGTGATTTTTTTTTAAGCATACAGTTCAATACTCCTCAGGCACTCTAATCTGCTGTCTTGATGAAGCCTTATGTGAGGCATTCTGGAAAAATGAATTTGTTGTTGCATAAGTTCTGAAGTTATGTTGCTTTGACCATTTTCTTCATTTTGAATAGCAGGAAATCTATTTAAGTCTGGAAAACAGTGAAATATTCTTGCTTGCTTTGGGTAACTGAATTCAGTCCAGAATTAGTGTTTTGGCTTAACTAGCAATATAAAAAATTTTACAAGTGGAATTTTGAACATAGTGGAATTGAATAGTTCTTCATCATTGTAATCTGCCTGGAATGATTTATTGTGTATTTGGAGTGTTAAACTAGAAAAGGCAGAATTCAAATGGATATCTTCATTATTCAGAGTCCAAAATTCAGTTCTTCAACAGTTATCAAAGCAAACTGTTGCATGTATTTATTATATGTTGATCGTGGTTATATCAGCAGTAAAGGTAGTCCTTGTTTAGTGACTGTATGCTGTTGCAGTGATGAAAAATAACTTTATGACCAATCTTTGCATCTATGATCTTTGCAGGTTTGTAAAGCAAAGAAAGCTGAAGTAAGAGTGTAAGCACAGTTGTAATTTCACTTAGCAACCACTTCACTTAATGACCAGGTTGTTAGCCCGAATTCTGATTGTTAAATGAGGACTGCCGGATGTATGTACTGTATTTTGTAGTGAGATTTAATTCTTTTTGGTGTTTTAGTTTGGTTTTCAAAGTGAGTTCACACTTCATATTAAGTCTGGAGTACCAATCTATAGTTTTCCAGGTACTATTGACTTACAACTGTTACCCTCTGTGCCCATGACTCATGGGTTTTATATTCATCTAGTGGGTCACGGGTTCTTCTGAGTTAAACATTGATGGGCAGTCAGTGGTATACATGATTTTCTGTTTGCAAGTTGTGGAGCTAAACCAGTATTAGTAGGAGTGAGAAGATACAGCCACATCCATAGTTTTTGTAACATTTTTGTCAGTTCATGATCGATCTTTCATAAACTCAAGGCGAAGAAGTCAACAAACAATACATGGCAACCACAGATTTGTTACGATAATATAGAAACTATCCTTTTCCTATAAATCTCTGCAAAACAGCAGGGTATTTCTCATTCAGAAAGTGACAACAAGCAATATCTACTGCTTGTAGATATTCTGGGGCTCCTTTTAATGGGGAATTCACTTTTTCTGGTCACACCAAACAAGTGTTGAGAAATCAAGTCATGGTGGAGTAAAATAATTTTTCAGATCCCATTGCTCCTTTGAAAAAAAAAACAAAATGGCCACCTTCTACACACCACTGTTAAAGAAGGACTAGATTTTTGCGTTGAATATGAGTGTTCCAGTTTGCCAATTATATGAAAATGTGATGGCATTTCTTTTTGGGTTAATGTGACGTGTGAACCCATTCTAAAAGAAAAAAATGCATAGTTTGTTGAGTTAGTCAAGCCTGAAATCTGCTTACATTTCCTTGAAACCCTTCTGACCTTATAGGAAAGATGGTGTTTGAATGTTGGGACAGAGATACACCGTGTAGTGTGTGTGGATTATCTCAAACTGATTTAACTTTAATTAAACCTTGAATGGATTGGAAATTGAATTGTTATTATAATTATTTCTTTTATATTTTATATTTTTGTATTTCACATGACACTTTATAGTTACACAACTATAAGTTATGTTGGGATTTTGCAAGTCATACTCAAGGCAGGAGGTTCTAAAGCAACAAGTTGTGCTGTTTTTTCTTACCTTGTGCAGCTTTTTTTAAGGTCACAGAACTATAAGGTAGTGAACTCTGAGCAACCTACGAAGTTGTTTTTTCTTACTATGTTTCCATAGCAAGGTAATTAATATGTTGTAACTTAATATATTAAGTTAATAATCTATATAATCCCAAGCTGTCATGCATAGAGGCTCTGATTCTTCCACTTGTTTCATTTAATAATCAAAATAGTGATTTCATAGGAGGATTGGGTTAATTCAGTAATGTTTGTTGTTAGTCCATTGCTGGTTTCTACTTTGTGTATTTTAATTAAAAAATACTAAATTAGATACTAACATTTTAGTAATGTACTAATGTTATTGCCAAGCATGTGATTTTTGTGGAAGTGAGCAAAATACTGCAATAGATACAGGTAGTTTTTTTTACTTAGGACCACAATTGAGCTCAAAATTTCTGTTGTTAAGTGAGACATTTGTTAAATGGGTTTTGCCCCCATTTTATGACCTTTCTTACCACAGTTGTTAAGTGAATCACTGCAGTTGTTATGTTAGTAACATAGTTGTTAAGTAAATCTGGCTTCCCCATTGACTTTGCTGCCCAGAAGGTTGCAAAATGTGATCACATGACTCCAGGCCACTGTAGCCTTCATAAATACGAGTCAGTTGCCAAGTGTCTGAATTTTGATCACATGACCTTGAAGATGCTACAATGGTTGTAAGTGTGAAAAATGGTTATAAATCACTCTTCCCACTGTCATCGTAACTTCGATTGGTCACTAAATGAACTATTGTAAGTCGAGGACTACCTATTTATGAGACCAAACTTGTGAGTAAAAAGCAAAAGGCAAAATTGTGGTTTTAAATTATCAGGAAATGTTCAGCTTTTAAGTAAACCTTTGTGTGATATAGCAGTAATAAAAGGAGAGGGAATAAAATAGTTTGCCATATCTCTTTCCTTGGATTCAGGATCTGTTCTATAAGGAAATAGCATTGTTCTACCCAAAATGAGTCTTCACGGTTAGGAAATGAGCTGGTTACAGTCCCAAGCCATTAAAGAATAGAATATGTTGGCGTGAAGTAGGACAGAGATCAGTAAGGACTAGGAAGAAGGGTGGAGCCCTCAGAGTACTAAATGTCTTGTAACTTCATAAGGGATGCATAGTTTTCCTTATTTTTGAAAAGCAAAGTGGAGAGCTTGATGGAAAAGCTTATTTGCATTATATTTACCAGTAGTGAAATGTAGAATGGATTAGGAAAAGACTTAAGGTGCCCTGAATTCCTTTCTCTTTATATCTGAAGTTCAAAGGAAGGTAGTTTGAGGGGTAACACTAATAGCTTCTACTTGTGCAGCCAGAATCACTTGGTGCTCTGCTATTAATTACCAGTTTTACATTTTAGTATCTAAATATTCCATTATTTCTCTCTGATCTTTCGCTAAAAATGATTGAATACGATATACCCGTAAAGCACACAAGCAAGAGTAAAATGATAAATGTGTACTGTATTCATATAGTGATGTAAAAAATTGAGGTTCTATCTTTAAAAATGAATAAACAGAAGCAAGGCTTACCTGTATGGTAGTTTGTGGCACTGTACTTCCACTTACGTGTGTCCTGGTTTCTTGATTTCAGGTGTTTCAGAACATAATACTAAAAAATTATATTGTCGTATATAGGTAGTCCTTGACTTATGATCAAGATTGAGCCCAAAATTTCTGTTGCTGAGACATTTATTGAGTTTTGTCCCATTTTACGACCTTTCTTGCCACAGTTATTAAGTGAATCACTGCAGTTGATAAGTTAGTAACCTGGTTGTTAAGTGAATCTCACTTCCTCATTGACTTTGCTTGTCAGAAGGTTGCAAAAGGTGATCACATGACCTTGGGACACAGCAACAATCATAAATATGAACCAGTTGCCAAGCATCTTAATTTTGATTACATGATCATGGGGATGCTTCAAAGTTCGTAAGTGTAAAATGGTCATAAGTCACATTTTTCAGTGCCATTGTAACTTTGAACGGTCACGAAATGAACTGTTGTAAGCCTAGGACTATCTGTAGTAATAAGCTTCTGGTACTTGGGAAGGCATACGTGCAAAATAAATGAACATGTGGTAAAAACTTCTGGGACTTTTGTAGAAATTTTCCAAAGTGCACTAGTTCCCTTTTGTGAAGTTAAGACATTGGGGCTAGTGTTTTATTTGGTGCCATGGAATAAATAACAGCGTTAACCTAGCTAAAAGAGAAAATTTGGCTCTAATGTGAAAAAAAAGAAGCCAAAACATCTGCCATTATTGCATTTATAGATGAGTTAATAATGTACATACAATGGCTCTATGATTACAAAACAACTGGTTGTTTAGATTTATTTACAAGTGATCTTAATTTGGTTGCCCTCTGCTTTTGACTGATTACTAGTAGAATGATTGCTAGCACTCATAATACTAACATTTGTAATTAAATTGGTCACTAACCAGTAGGTTCAAAGTACATTACAGTAATTATTAAACATTTTGAGATAATTATGCTTCTTTGTATTCTGACAAAGAGTAGAGCCATTTTGATCATCTGAGATATGAACAGGTAACATATTGGAAGATGTAATGAAAAGCAGGTTTGATTTAGCACTGAATGAAATTTCAGAAATAAATTCTGATGAAGTGTTTCTAATATAATATATTCAGCGTAACAACCCATTCCTCAATGTGGATACAAGTAACTACCTAGGACAATACGCACATGCAGTGGGATTTTACTATACTATAGTATTTGAGCAAATACCATAAATCAGTGATGGCGAACCTTTTAGAGACCGAGTGCGCAAACTGCAACCCAAAACCCACTTATTTATCACTGGGTGCCAGGTGGGTGTGGCCTACTGGGTGGATGTGGCCAAGGTGGGCGTGGTCACCTCAATATTGCTCGTGGGGAGGGACACCTATGGGGCTGGGCAGGGTTGGGGGAGATCCAGGGGGTCTCTGGCAGGTGGGGCGGTGGGCAGGAGGCTTGTCCTGCGGGATGAGGTGAGGCAAGGCGAGGCAGGGCGGGGGTGCCATTGTCGCAGGGCAAGGCAAGGCAGGGGCCGGGGCGGCTGCTGCCTGACACCATCAGCCCCCACACACAGAGGCCAGCAAGTGCATGGGAGTCGACAGTGTCTGTCAGCAGCCACAACCTGCCGGCTCCTCAACTGGCGCACTCTGGAGCTCCACAGGCCACC